ATGAGGATGTTGAGGTTCTCTTTAGGAGGGACCAGGATGGACAGGATTAGGAATGAGCACATCAGAGGGACAGCTCAGGTTGGCTGTTTTGGGGACAAGGTCAGAGAGGCCAGATTGAGATGGTTTGGACATGTGCAGAGGAGGGATAGTGGTTATATTGGTAGAAGGATGTTGGAGATGGAGCTGCCAGGCAAGAGGTCAAGAGGAAGGCCAAAGAGGAGATATATGGATGTGCTAAAAGAGGACATGAAGTTAATTGGGGTGAGAGTAGAGGATGCCGAGGATAGAGTTAGGTGGAAACAGATGAGTCGCTGTGGCAACCCCTAACGGGAACAGCCAAAAGAAGAAGAAGGAGAAGATTCTGAATAGGACTGTGACTAAAGGGACAATGTTAGATCAGCTAAGAGTCACGCCTTACACTCTACTGAGTCTACTGATGAAATAGAGCCCTGTGAAATTCGAAATCCCCTCTGTTTTGGACAGCTAGCATCTAAAGAAAAATGTACGCTGAATCAATGGACATTCTAGACAGTCGTCTAAAAAGACAATGCTTCAACGTGACCCTGCAGTGCAGTTAGTAGAGACATGATTCAGCAGAGGAAGCCCTAACTCTGACAGACTCACTCACAAATGATCATATAATTAACATTTATAAGTGGTGAATAAGGGTGCACCATATGCATACACAGTGTGTGTGCAATGTCAACGGTTCAAGTCTGGCTTGCAGTCTATGGCTCTCTACCCCTTTCCTGTCCACCTGTCTGTGACCTACTTAACCCAAAACAAAGAAGGTAAAATGCCCAAAAAAAACTTCTGTTGAATAAGATAAGTAATAGTATTTTTATGTCTGCCTCATTTAAGAGCATGAAAGAAAGTTGTATCACTATGGCAACAACCACTACAACTGTCCTTGACACTCACAAAGTTGCTAAATTCATGGCCAGCAACATATTATTTTCTTATTCCTTCTTTTACTGCCTTTTATTATTCCCTTTCTTTTACAGAATGCATGTGAAGGAAAGGAAACAGGAGAGCAAAGCCCCTACACACCTTTCACTTACAGTATGTTGGCTGACCTATTTTCAGGACTGTGTGGGTCTATACAAACAGCCCTGACTTAGAGCTCCATCACTCTCCAATTAGTTTTATGCACCTGTACAAACAGGAAAAGTTTGCCTGTCATCATTCTTATCAGCACGTAGAAATTTTGGCAATGAATAATAAACAAAGCCTTTCATCTGACATGGTGGTCACACCAGGCAGTCACTGTAAACACTTGTGTGAGTATGCAGGACAACAAAAAGGAGGATGTGTATCTTGTAAGACTGACACCTTAACACCTGACACCTGCTTCCATGACATGAACTTTTACAGAACCTTGTGACTTCTTGGTACTAGTGTTTTCCATAACTTCCTACTACAGTGGCAAGGAAAAGTATGTGAACCTTTGGGAATTTCATGGTTTTCTGCATCAATTTGTCATAAAATGTGATCTGATCTTCATCTAAGTCAAGAGTGCTGATGAATATAATGCACCTAAAATAATAAGGCAATGGGCAACTGGCAAATAACCAGTTATTAATTCCAGGGACTCACTTACTTTTTCCACTACCATTTTGAATATTGAATATCTTCAATAAAGACATGAAAGATCAGAATTGTTTGTTATTTTTGTAGGCACATTATATTTGTCAGTACTCTTCACTTAGATGAAGCTCAGATCACATTTTATGACAAATGAATGCAGAAAACCATGAAATTCTAAAAGGTTCACATACTTTTTCTTGCCACTGTATGTGTTTCAAATATTTTTTATTTAAAATACAACAGAAATGCCAACTAACTGTGTTACTTTTGTGGGCTATTTTTAGATTTTGTCTTGAGCATAGTACTGAGTTCAAGTCCATGTTAGTTTTAATCACATTCACTTTATTCAAGCCCAAAATCAATCTTCTACACAACATACTCTGTATTTGAATGACTAGCAAATAGACCACATTTAGCTGCAAGTCCCATTCAAAATGGACACAACCAGACTATCAAACATGACTGGTCTTTATGTTGCATGTTTAAAACTCCAAACAAACTTGTCTTAAAATAAATATTAGCAAACCTAGCTAGCTGGGCATCTAACTTTTCAGTGAGGCTAATCTTCTGTCTGCCAGCAATGCAGAAATGTCCTGTTGTCGTGACTTAATGTTGCTTTAAAATAATGTTAATATCTTTACATTAGAGTGTATTAATATCTAGGTGATGCTTGGAGCTGTTTCTTCAGGTTTGTGGTTTTTGTCCAAGTAGGGGAGGCAAAAGTGGTGTGGTGGGTAGAGCAGTCATCTCCCAACCAGAAGGTTGAAGGTTCCAATCTCGGTTCATCAGTTCTGTACCAGAAACAAATTCCTTGTGTGTAACAGACTTGGCCAAATAAAGGTGATTATTCTTATCCTTATTTGTAGCTGTGTGGCTTCTCTCCTGACAAAACTCACTTTTTCTCTCAGCTGCATAATATTTGACCTGACAAGTCGTTTTTAATGACCAAGCCTCACTGCTGCAGTCATGTTCTTTTCCTGTCACTGTATTCTGTCTGCTCTCCTACAGCCCTAGTGTTAAAGTGCACACAGTAGCTCCAGGCTAACACTGTTGGTGTTGCCTTCCTGGGTGCTGCTGGTGTGCAGTGTCACCGGGAGGATGACTGACAATCAGGCACAAAATTGTGCAAGAGAACCATGCAATGAAAGGGTTGAAGAGGGTAATCCCCCGACCACAGGGGGACGCATTGAGCAAATAGCTGCTAGGCTCACCAAAATGAGAAGAAGATGACAAACTGGCACCAGGGGCTACCCTCTATTGTAATACACATTGGCTGACAAAAATAAAATATAATAAAATAAAATCCAAGGCTCGACTAGAAGAGTCTAAGTCGACTGATGGACCTCTCAACAAATGATTCAACTAGTCAACTTTCAGGGGCAGCCAACTCAATCGTCGAGGGCAACGGGGGGGTTCAGTGTCTTGCCCAAGGACACTTCGACACGTGGACTGGAGGCACCGAGATTCGAACCTTCAACCTTCTGGTTTATGTTAGTACAAAAGTAGCTAAAAAATGGATGAAGAACAAACAAGAAGAAGAAGTTGCTTGAAAAAAACCCCACTTATTCCATAGTTAAGATTTGGTTTGGTTTTAAAAAGCCGGACGCTGTACAAAATACATCTATCTGCCATCTATACAGCAACACACAAGCCGCTTTTGCTATGAGTAGATACACAGACACCTGTGCAGTGTGATAATCTCTCACCTTCCACAATAAAGCTCTTCCTTCACAGCCAAGTGATAACATCCAGACAAATGCATGTCATTGCAGTTAACAGAAGTAAGAGCTGGTAGCTGTTATCTTTTCAATGTGCAACAAACGTCTGGTGACATACAAATAAGTAGAACCTTCTGAAAACAGAAGCACAGGTAGCCTTTATAAGCAAGTCGTCTGGAAGAATGTTAAATTTTATAGGCCTGCTGTTAATGGCGCACTCTACTCATTACCGCCCCCAGCGGTGCATCACTGTCATTGCCTTAAAGTTAACTATTAAAACAGGCGCAGGGTGGCGAACTGGATGTATGCACAAGATCATACCAATCATTTGGAATTCATGTGCATTTGCGCTTTGAGACAAGCATACAAATGGAGAGGGCAAGAGTTCGCCTGCCTGACATCACATCACAGTACTGGACCTGGAAAACTTGCATTCGACTGTCCACTAATACGCTGGGCTTGTGAAACCGCGGGACATTTCTGACAGCGGTGTGAAACGCACTTCCGAGCAGTTTTGTGGCCAGACCCCGAAGCGCAGTCTGGGCGGTGATGAGCACCGCATTACCTGAGGACACGGTGCAGACTTTTTTGCTGCATTGAGTCACAACTCCGGTGGGACGGGTCATGTGACCAAACTCTGCACCGTTATGGAGGACCGAACTGAGCTGTAGGCCCGTTTGTGCTGCAGCCAGCTGTGAACCACCTGCCACACCGAGCTCAGCCACTCAGTGAGAAAACACGCCAGAGTACTAAAGTTTTCATGTGGCCACAGCGCTCCTGTGCAGGCCAGGAGGCGAGGCTCCCAGCCGGGCGGCTGCCCTTGGAAGGCTAAGGCAGTGCGTCCCCGCACTGCGGCGGCCCCGGGGAAACACGTCTTACACGGTCATACGACGATATATACAACCATATGTTGTGCCAGCAACCTTTGCTTTGACCGCTAATCCCTGAAATCTTTCTGCAGTGCACGTGAACGCGTCCCAGAGGCGACCGAACGAAGCACAAGCTGCCTACGTGCGCGCGCATTAATTGCTGAAAACTACGCCAAAGCAGTTTTAGCTTACCTGTTATTATGTTCTCGGTGATCGCTTGTTTGTCAGTCATCATATCCAAGAGCTTCTCCTCTTCCCGAGCCTTCCCCCCGACACAGCCACACCAAGCAATTTTCCTGGTTAACTGGGATTACCGGGCCGAAGAAGAAATAACATCAACCAAACACCTTCCACGCTGCCAGTTCGGTGACCCCCTCAACTTCACTTCGCTGCGTCGCTTCCTATCTTACGGATAAGCATTAAAAAGCACATGGGGAAGATTTAGGTTCCGAATGTTTGAGAAGTAGTGGAGCAGAGAGGATGTTGGACACACTGCTCCGTGCGCCCCTCCCACCACGTTCACGGCTGTCCTGGCCAGGAATGCTGCTGCTTCAGTCTGCTGCAGCTCCGCGCCGAGCAGCCAGTGAGGATGGTGTCCTCTCCACCAGATAAGCACAGGCGAGTCCAGATTTGATGAATAATCAGTATGAACGCACGGTGAAGTGTTTGGAAATAGAATATAAAGTGGATTGGGACGACATCAGAGCATGCTCATTTCACAGTCAGCATGACTCATTCACATAATGTTGTATCAGTTTAGTAATTAACAACGTTACCAAAACACTGTCTGAGACCCTCATTTGGACTGAATGGGGATGGGCAAGTGGTGCAGGGCCTATATGTGATATGAGGAATTGTATGTGGGCCCAGATGGGTTCCCTGGGTCATGACAAGCCCATGCAGACTAACTGTGGGTCTGTGGTCCTTTTGTGGAATTCTTAAGTGTAAGGTGAAATTTGACCCAAGGGTCTGTTTTAAGGAGTAACTACTAAAAATGCAACAGAGTGAGGGAGCAATGCCTGTGGGGGGCATGGCCTCTTGGCTACACAGAGTGTGAGGTGGAGGGTCTAGGAGACATGGGGGAGATTCTATTGTTCATTAATTTATCTTATAATACCTTTTTCATTCATTTGCTTATTTTTATTTTCATCAGCAACCTATGTAGGTCCTAATTGATGGCTGGGTAAGTTTCCTTTGGGTCAACCAGTCAAAGAATTACTGAATATTTACTGATCCATCAGTTAAGAGCTCACAAAAACAGACTACACATTGGAAGTCTTTCATTATTACTGTTTTTAGCACTTCCTCCCACGGTGCATTGAAAATCACAGTCAAAGCCCAAGGATAGCCTAAAAGGGCGTGCCTACCCAGTCAAGGGAAAGAAAGGTTCAGACTGATGTTTGAGTGAAAGAGAGAAAGATAGGTCATCTTTTGTACAACCTACTTGAAACTGTGGCTGATTCATGTACATCTGGATTAATTACTTATATTTTATGGAAGAATTAAGACTACATTCAAGGCTGGATTACCAAGTGGGCAAAGTGGGCAGTTGCCCTAAGTCTGCTGAACTCACTGAAAGCTCCAGGTTTACTGTGTGCCATCTGGTTTGTCCAAATGAACAGAAATCTCTTTCAAAACATGCACAACTTCCCTATGATGACAGCTTTAAGATGGGCTCTGCTTTATTTCCTGACTTTGATGCCTTACCTTGAAGAAGGCTCCTGTGTCAGAACTGAGTCTGAGTCTTGTCTAGTAACTCTTCACACAACAACTTACTTCAACATTTCTAAAAGAAGCCATTGTTAAATGGCTCTAATGCAAATCCTAGATTCACCATAACACAACATGGTTGCTGAAATATACAGCTGCTCCTTGCCAAGTAATCCTTGAACACAAGCTTAGTTTCTGCATTTTCATCAAAATGCAGGCAAGTGTGATAACACAGTGAACACCCAATGCAGTCTGATTGAGTCAGCTGCAGCAGTGACTCAGCAGAAGCTGTTGGTAGCCACTAAAGACTTACAGGGGTCTGGAATAAGGTTTGTAACTAAAAACAAAAATTGGAAAGGAATCTTAAACATGCAAGGACTTACTAAGCTTATAGTGTGGTGATGTTTGTAGGATCTGGATCCTGGTGCTGAGTCAGGAATTTTCAAGGATTTCTTCAACAATGAAATACAAGGTAAAAAATGTATTTGTGGGCGTGTGTGTGTTTTAGTGCATTTCCAAATACAGATTGAATTTTCTTTAAAAATACCATATGTAATATAAATATCCTGTTTCATAAAATCACAACTGCAAATAAATAAAGTACTGAGTATTTTAATTAAACTGAAAAGGGCCACTTTTTAATGTAGGAAATTATCTCAATTATGACTTTGGGGAATTTTAATCAGAATTACACATACCCAGTTTAACCTTTTGTCCACTGACATTGCTTTGTAGAGTCAGATGTAATAACACTAATGCAACAGGGTTCATTAACCAAATGATTATCCTTTTGGAATAAGTAAGTATTATAACTGAGGTGGCAAAGAATCCATGCCAGCTGCAGACTGAGATGTCAAAGAAAAAATGTTGAATTGAGTGTATTGCTACTATTACAAACTAAACAAACATAAAAGAATGATTCATGGAAAACCAAGCTGAGGCTGTACTGAATGACATGAAAACGGCTGGCAGAACCGCCACCTGAGGGCAGCTGGTAAGAGTCGTGATGTGGAAAATGTAGTGACTTGTGTGACAGAGAAATGAATGATGGACATCAGGGTTTCCACTTGGTTCTTATTTGCTCTGAACATTCAGTGTGGCCTGACTCATAACAGCTCTGTTCTTGCTAGCTAGCTCCTAAGCTTCCCAGTTCTCTGGGACCCTGTCATGACCCTCCGTAGTCATTACAGCCACCTACAGATTAACTCAAAGGTTCCCATTTATACAAGTCTTGCAAACTCTTGCTCATGAGACTTTTTTCTAATAAAATAAATTATTACTTGATAATTTAAGGATCTCTTTGAATTGTAATAATCTCCAGGCCGTTGTGCATTCATGTGAGCTTGCCTGACATCCACCTGTGCCATTGAAAAGTGGAGTTTTTTGACTGCTCCTGGTTTTGTGGATACATTTTCCCTCCTGCTGCTCAACTGTGACCAGAGAACGTGGAGAAAAATACAGGGCCTGAAGTTACTGCATGTCCGGGAATGTTCCTGTACAGGGAATTGCTGTTTTACCTGACTGGTTCTAACCTACAAGCAGCCGGCCAGTGAAAATCTCGCAGTGGTGAATGATCAGCTCATCAACACTGGATTTCCCTGGAGCACAGTACCTGTATGTTTTGACTGCTTGAGGCCAGTGTGTCTGCAACATGTGATGTGTTGTTGGTTAATGATCCATGATGTTATTTTCAGTGCTACGCTACCTGTTGGAATTAATTTTACTACGTTGGTACTGTATGTGGTTGTGTGGGGGAAAACGCAGCAACCACTGGTTGGATTTACCGACCTTGGAGCTACTTGAAAGAGAGCGATGTTTCCACTACCCAGTGGGACTTAATGGAAAGTTTAGAAAAACGCATGTTGCATGTCTGTTAATTCTTTGTTTCTGTAAAGTTAGAGAGAATTGTTGTAAGGCTGGAGAAGTTACTATGTCAGCATTTTGCCAGTTAAAATATGGGAATTTCATGCTTTCCTAACTCTTGCTGGATAGAGTGGGTCTATTGCTGTTCCCTGGTCACTGAATCTGAGGCCTGCTGCCTCCTGTAATGGGGTCTCTGGTTCTGTCTCTTGTTCCACTGTTTGTGACTCCCATCTTGTAAATAAGAAACTGCCTGTTTCTTGTCATAGCATGGACAAATATGATCTTGATGTCTTTTTACTCATTTGCACTTAGGAGTTTTCACCTTCCACGATACTGCCCCAGTTCTTTAAACAAGGGTTCCAGGAATCTACTTTTGACCTGCATACTTGGTTCTGGCTCCCTTAAGCCAGCAATTCATCCCGATTTTAGCCCTCATTAGGTTGACCTCGACTTCTTTTAGAATATTAGTTGTTCAACCTGCAGTGTGAGCAGGGCCACAGTTCAATGCCCTTGCATGAGTACAAAGACAGCAAAATAACAACTTAGCACAGATGAGATATTGCATTTTGTGGATAGACTCAACTGAGACAAGGCCATAAACTGTATACAGTGCTGTCTATGGATGTGATAAATTGAGCTCTGACAACAACACACTATACAATGTGTCATCGAAATGGCATCATGACCGGTGGATGGCAATGGGAGGAAGATTAGCAGCAGTGTAACGCTGTTCTTCAGCTGTATAAAGTAAGATGGGTACTACTGATTTTCTTGTTGATGTCACCTTCAAGGATGCAGCCATTTTGCTTGACTAGAACTTTACTGGAATTGTTAATGAACACACCTGTTCAGTGCTCTGTTTAAATGCAGCGTGAGCAGTCACAAGCAGTCACATTATGTCCAGTTGAGCAAACCTACAGTATGAGCAGAGAAGTTGCAGATTCAGGCCGATTAAGAACTATACTGTGAGTTAACACATCATGCATGTGAAGTAAAAGGCATCTGCTCAACTTTAGCTCTCTATGCCAGGCATGCTCTTTTTGATTGGCCTGATTATCTTCAGTCTTACCAGTTAGTGAAAGATGCACCTGGTCCAACTGGGTTCTGAGTCACCACTTCATCACCAACTCAGCCGATGTGCTTTTTGTGGTTGTCTGAGGTGGGGTCCACCCTGGACAGGTCCCCAGTCTATCACAGGCCTGAAATGTAGCACAGGCCCACAAAAATGCACATGAAGTCTCATCCGTGGCTGGTCTAACCACTCCCACAGATGTAGGGGTGTTGCTGCTGACACGGCCTGGGTGGTGTGGTATGCATAACACTGTCTCACTGCAGACTCCAAATCTGCATCCATCTTTGGCACCACATTCATTCTTGAAACTCCTGGATTGGCCTTATGGAGTTCCTTAATCATTGTCTGTCATTCTTGTTGGTGTGTTATTACTCTGCTGTCCCACAAAATGCAGCCTTCCTCCACACTCAGCTCACAACCTCACCTAAGGCTCCATCTCATAGTTTTTACATTGTGAGGGCTATGAACCCTGAAATATCCATTGCTGCACCCTAGACAAAGCAGTGTCATGGCAAGTCCAGCTTTCATGTGCTCCATGAGCATTATTACCTCCCCTTCTCAAGGAGTGGTCAGTGGTCTGGCTAGCAAGGACAGTGTGCACAGTGCTTCTGCATTACCAGGTTTTGAGCTCTCCTTATATTCTAAAGTTAGGTTACAGGCAACTAAAAAGCCCAGATGGTGACAAAACCGATGCGGTGGATGAAGGACATTTGAGACCTGCTCAGTGCATCTCGCTCTCCAGGAACTGACAGCCTGTCGAAGAGCCACAGACTGGAGGCAACTGGATGTGTCTGTGACAGCTCATAGAGGGGTGCAGCTGCGCCTCCGGTGGAGAAGCAGCGCATGTA